AGATGTAATCCATACCGAAGGCTGTGCTCTTTGATCTTCATCAGTAGATGTTTTAAGTCCTCTTCACTTTCCCAGAGCAATATCTTTTGCCATGAAGTCAATGAGTGCTTTACCAGTTAACAGCGAGACACACTGTTTCTGGCCTCTGAGACTAACAATATGGAAAAGAAAATGATACTGGTAATAGAAAATGAAAACAAGAAAACAGCATATGGGTAAGAGTAATAAAGAGCCACCACCAACTGTCTCCGCACTACTCAGAAATGTGCTCACTCACTGCACTCATTCTTGGTGTTTCCTATATATCTACCAGGATATACATCCTAATATAGGCCAGACTGCCAATGGAATATGGTAGAAATATAGGAAATACTCACAGACTAAAATACTGATATATAGGAAATACAAGGCCTGCCCTAGGAAACTAACACATATTAACTCCAGCTCAGTGACAATAAATATGAATCACTGGTGGTGGTGGTGGCAGTTATGTGCCATGGAGTCGGGTCCGACTCATAGTGTCCCTGCACAGGGTTTCTGAGGCTGTAAATCTTTACAGGAGCAGAAAGCCTCATCTTTCTTCCACGGAATAGCTGATAGTTTCAAACTGCTGACGATGAGGTTCGCAGGCCAATTCATATGAGTTTGAGAAATCCAAATCCTAGAGGCTATTACAGCAACCTCCAAAGAGGAGTGCCTTTTACGTAACTTTTTTGAACACTTAACTTTCTTGTACCCATAAAAAAAATTTCCCTCTTATTGACATCTATAAAAACAACTCTCCCAACATGAACTGACATTTATCTAAGACAACTGAAACAGAACAAAAAGTTACCTTTTATATTTAATAGTGGTCAAACTGCTGAGCTCAAACCACAATTAAATACCATACTTATACCCAGAGAACCGTTTTAGCAAATGAAATCTGATTAAGTCTCAAATTAAGAGCCTTGAAATTTGGTTCAGTGAAGACAACCATAGATCAAAAACTTAGAACTCTAAAGAGAAAAATACTTAATGAAAATTTCAAATCAGCATTATTCAACATCTAATGAATTTTGTTACAGCTGAACATTTCTTAAAACTCAAGTGTCCTGCGTACTCACAATGAGCCAATTATGGACAGAATCCAAGAGAGCAAAAAGATTATGAGGAACCTTCTACCAGAAATATAAGTATATACTGAAATAGCAGGCCCAGAAAAATGAATAGCCTAAGTATATGAAAAAAATTAATGAATGATGGGAAAATGCTAAGCCAGAGCAAGAAATCTCCAGCCAAATGTTCTATGTTTTCTATCAAGCCAACACTAAAGAATATCCATCCTTATATAATATTCACAATCCACCCCAGGTTTTAATAAGACTTCTACATTAGAAAAGAAAAGGTTTCTTACCTGAGACAGAGTAGACACAAAGTTTTCTAGAATGCAAAACAGCCAAATGAAGCATTTCAGTACCTCTGAAAAATGGGGAAAGTTTTTATATATTACTTTCAGATATACAGAGCTTTTTAAAACCATAAATAGTTTAAAAAAAGAGATCATAAATTTAGCCTGTAAGTCATCAGATAGCAGTCTGAACTTAAAAATACATGTAACAACAAATAGTTTGGTCATCCCAGAAGTGCAATACTTTGCCTCAAAGAGCTAATTTCAGATTGAAGGCAATGGAGCCCACAGGAAAGTCACATCTGAGGTCCCTTCATAAATCCTCTCCCACAATAAAGAGATTCAAGGGCTGGTCCTGACACCTAATCTCTCTGAGCCTGTTTGTTCCCTGAAATATAAAAGGCTTACAATGTAAAAGATCTGCCAACATTTAAGAATCTGGAGATTCCCCATAAAAATCTGTGCTCTCTAGCTTTTCTTTTGAGAAATGTGGAGATCTGGCCACACACAGAGAACTGAGTAGTGACCACCTTCTTTAGTCTGGCCTCAGTTTCCAGTGGATCAGAGTTATTTACATTTTTTACTCCAGTGCACAACTCTGGTACAGATCTAAACTACCACGATTATAACTGAAGCCTTGAGGCCTGCATTAGGGCTCTGAGTCTACACTTGCTAGTTCATTTCATCTTGCAGTGTGTTCTTTTCTCATTTGTCAAATAAGAATGATATTAGATAGTAACCGCAATATTAGATAATACCCAGAAAGCATTGCTACAGTGGTCTATCTAAAGACTCATCACCAGAAAATACAAAAACGTACAACTCTCACATTTTATACAGTTGTTGTTGTTAAGTGCTGTCAAGTCAGTTACGACTTATAGTGACCCTGTATAGGGTTGCCAAGGAGCAGCTGATAGGTTTGAACTGCTGACCTTGTAGTTAACAGTCCAATGCCACATTTATCCTACAGTGCCACACCGGGACTAAATTTTCATATGTACCTTGGATCCTCAAAATCATTTTTCCCAGCAGGAAAGGAGTGTGATGCCAAACAAAGATACTAAAGTATACAGTAAAATGGCTCTGGGTCTGGATTCCTGTAGAGGGTTTCCAAGGAGCAGCTGAAGAGCTTGAACCACCAACCTTGCGGTTCAAGCTGACCTTACAGTCCAGTGCATTAACCCACAGCGCCACACCAGGACTCCACAAATAGATTAGTGAAGTGATATTTATAAAACAGTATGAACCTCTTCCTCTTCCAACTAGCCATCACATAGCTGAGAGTCACATTTGCAACTACTGTATTGGTATGACTGTGACAGCACTATACGTCTTAGAAATGGAAACGTACAAATGCTATTCAGGAGCAAGAATCCTTTGGTTGTCTCAATCCCTTCTGCCTAATGTGCACACCTCCGTGGGAGAAAGATGAGGCTTTCTGCTCCCGTAAAGATTTATAGCCTCGGAAACCCCATACAGGGTCGCTATGGGTCGGAACTGACTCCACGGCACATAACAACAACAATGTGCACACCTAATCATCACCAGCTTTTAGATGGAGTATATAGTCAAGCACATCAGTCATAAAATCTCCTTGATCCAGCCTGTCACAGTGCAGAAATGTAATCTGGCCTACCACAGTCAGGCTGCAGTTACAATTTCCCATCAGACTGAAATGTATCACTGTTGTTGTTGTTGTTGTTGTTATGTGCCGTGGAGTCGGTTCCGACTCATAGCGACCCTGTACAGAGTTTCCGAGGCTGAAGAGAATAAATACTCCGGAGTGGTTATTCGGTTTTCTAACAAAGGCTGGGCTCTAACAAATGTCACTTGGGAGTCAATAAGTTATGATGTACAAAGGGAGTGATCAGAATCCAGCACACAGGGCACCATCCCAAGGGCACTTATTGCCTGCAAGCAAAAAACAAAACTAAACCTGTTGCCATGGAATCAATTCTACATCATGTGCGCAGAGTAAAACTACTGCAGACAACTGCTCATAAGGTTGTCTTTGCTATAACCTTTACAAAAGCAGATTACCATACAAGAACAAGCAAGTTGTTCGCCCAGACGACATCAAGGCAAGTGGTTAGGTCCCCTCAGAGCAAACCCCCTTCCAAGACTAAGACTCAGTGGGAATACATGCTCTGATTGGTGACCATGTTTGTCACTGATAAGGGGAAGTGAGGGAAAAACAACAACAAAGCTGAGAGTTAAGCCCTACAACGTTCAGTAGACTCCTGTGAGCCCAGGTGGAGACTTGGTTAGCCAGCAGTTTGGCAAGACCTGGGGACTCTTGGGCCCAGAGTCAGCAACATAACCACAGAGGACTAGAGTGGAGAGTGAAGCATCCAGCTGGTAACAAGTGAGGGCCTATGCACAAGAACATCCACACTTGCGGATAATACCCACTTGACCTGGCTTCACTGACTGGATGAGCTCAAAAGAGGGAACAAATCTTTACAGCAAGGATCATTCCCACCCCCT